GCCCTGGCTGTGTGTGCAGAGCACAGGAATCCCCAGCCATGACCACCACCTAGAGGCTACAGCACTAAGTGAAGCTGGAAAGATTTATAGCCCAGATGGGCCAAAAAGGGGGTTGGAAATTATTCCCAAGCTCAAATTGAGCAACACAGGGAGCTGAGAGTCTGGGCCCCCTTCTCCAGCTCACCTGGCCTTGACTCTGGAGCCCCCAGCAAACCTGGGCCCCAGGGTGGGTGTTAGGGAGGGAGTTTTGCCAAGAGCAGAAGGACGTGGTGCCCTTTTCCTCCTGGGCACCTTCTCCCACTCAAGGGGTTCAGGAGGAGCCCATCCTTCAACTCCAATGGAGAATATTCCTGGGAACACACTTGCCCAGGGGATGTGCACAGCCCAGGTGGGCAGCACAGGGTGTGTCCACAGTGTCTGTCCCCACCAACAGCCACGTGCAGGGGACAGTGGGCGAGTTTTCCTCCTTTGGAGGCTCCCAGAGTGTGGCCAGAGGGGCTCAGACCAAGGGTGGGTCCAAACCTGTGTCCCTTCACTTCCAGCTGCAGCCAGAGGTGATGGGGAAGGGCAGAGCCAGGGGACAACTCCAGGTGCTGTCCCACCCCCCACAGTTTGCTGGCCCTGCACTGGGGACAAGTCTTTGTGTCCCACAGCCCCACCGGGTCGTCCTCCAAGAATCTGTCCAATTTCTTACCAACCCATCATGATTCTGGGGCTCCATTTGGGCAGTGAGTTCCGTGCCTTAATTTCACACATCGTGTGAAATATGTTGGCTTTGCATCTGCCGCTCAGTAATTTCATTTGGGGCCTCTTTGTTTGCTTTGTGTCCCCACACAAGAGCCACCGACCCCTATTCACTGTCCTGGTGCCGCTGCACCAGGGAATACAACTCAGGGAATGCAACTCCCACCTCCTTGTTCCCCCTGTCTGTCAATCCTTTGCAAGACAAAAGGGGTGATTTATTTAATTGTTGCTGATACAATGTGCTAAAACCCTCCTTTCCCCTCCAACAGTTAATTACACTTGTTAATTATTTTAATTATTCCCAGGGTGATGCTGTAGGTGTAGAGGAGCCCACTGGGATGCACACGTGGGAGTAAACACGGAGCAGAGGAGTCAGAGTTTGTTCCAAGGTCTCCGTTGGTAACAGGTCTATAAACCACAAGGGTGAAACAGCAGGGAAGGCTTGGCCTGCATTTGGAACTTTCTGTTTGCAGCATGGAAAGATTTATAGGAGGGGAAGGCAGATCCTGCAGGATTTCCCCGGGATGGGGCAGTCGGGGCTCGGAGAGGCGGCTCCAGCCTTTCCCCGGTGCAAAATGGAACCACGACCTGGCCAAGCAGCTCCGGGCAGCACCCCTGGGACGGTGGCTTTATAGGAGGGAAGGAATCAAACCAAGCAAACTTCCAGCCCGCTGGAAAGCCGAGGCTCAGGCACAGCCCACCTCCATCCCAGCCGCGTTCCGGGGGAGCGTTCCCGGCCCCGTCAAACAAAAAAGCTGTTTGTGGTCTGTGGAGCAGCCCCTGCCAGCGCCCTCGGAGCCAGGGTGAAACCCGAGAGCAGCCCCAATCCAAACCTTCCCCGCAGCTCCTTTTATCTTCCTGGGGGGAAAACAAACAGCGCAGAAGCCGAGGCTTTGTGGCCGGGATGTCGCACATCTGGTTTGAGCTCCAAGAAATGCACTTCCACCCCCTCCCCGAATTGTTCCTGTTAAACAAATAAAACCCCGGCGAGTTTGCGAGATTTTGGCTCTGGGGTAACTTTGGAGCAGCTCTGACTGTGAGTTCCAGGCTTGTGCTTCTTTCATTCCTCCTAACGGGAGCAGCTCACCTCGCTCCTGGCAGGGAGGCACTTCCAAAGGGGGTCCGAGACCCCCCATGCCGGGAATGCCGAGGCTGGGAGGGGGTAGTGGTCTTGACCACTCTGTGTTTAGGTTTCAATCCAGCATTTTCCCCTGTGTTATTCGTGCTTCCTCCCTTCCCCCTTTTTTAAAAAACGTCTGGAATTGTTTAAGATGTGTCCAATTGTATTAAGATTCCTTTGAGAGCTTTATGGTGTCAATTGGATTCCAGCTCTTAGGAAAGGAGTTTTCTAATCTGCTATTTTTTTCCTTTTCTATCTCATAAGCACCACCTTCCTCTCAGTCCTTTCAGGTGTTACCTCCGCCTGAAGTTCACCCTAACTCTTGGACATCACTTCCAGATTCCATTTGACACATTTCCAGTGATTCCCTGGCTGGTGCTGCAGGAGGAAGGCAGGGAGTCATTCCGGGGGGATCCTCTCCCACTGGCCCCTCTGTCCTCTCCCAGCAGAGGTGGATAAATCAGCGCAGATCACAGAACCAAACCATGGAATCACAGGATGGCCGGGGTTGGGAGGGACTTTAAAGACCATCTAGTTCCACGGGCAGGGACACCTCCCACTATCCCAGGTTGCTTCAAGCTCCGCCCAACCTGGCCTTGGTCACTTCCATGGACGGGGCAGCCACAGGTTCTGTGGGAGCAGCTGAAAGGTGTGGGATGAAGGGGGTAGGAGCAGCATTCCAATGCTCTCCCCATCCTCTCCTGGACTCACCCAATCCCAACCCTAACCACGCTCCTTCCAAAGCCCGGCACGGTGCTCACCGGTGATTCCGTCCCCACCTCCACCCTCCCTGATGACCAGCTCCAGCCGCTCCAGGCGTGGGACAGGCTCTGGCTGGGAACCACGTCCACATTGTTCCCTCCAAACCAGGGAGGCTCCTCGACAGCCCTGGCAGGGCCTGGGGGTGTTCTGGGCTCTCTGGAGCCCGTCCAGGGCATCAGGTTTCAGAGCAGGGGCTCGGGCAGCTGCAGGGGAAGGAACAGCAGCGGGGACAGGCAGAGGGAGGAGCCATCCTTGCCATTCCAGGCATTCAGTTTGCTTTCCCCTTCATCAGATTGACGCCAGTGGAACTCCATTAACTGCCAGGGAGATGCTCAGGATCTGAAAATCAGACCTGCTGGATTTTCATAGAATCCCAGGATGGTTTGGGTCGGAGGGGACCTTAGAGCTCATCTCATTCCACCCCAGAACCATTAACCTCTTCACCTCATTGTGTCAAGGTCTCTAATTGTTCTGATTAATAATGACAATCAGACACACAGCAATTCCATGGATCTTTCATAACCAGTATCAGAACAGGTAACACACACTGCCAGCACCCAGAGCCAGCCAAGGACCTCAAAGAAGGTGCTTTCTCCACAAATTCCAAATAAACCTGAAAGTAGGCTGACTCTACAGGATTTTCTTCCTTCAAAACCTCTACTTTTTGGACAAACTAAGCCAAGCTTGGGATACACCATGGAGCTGGGCTTTGATTCGGTGCCTACACACCAAGCCCAGCCCATGAGGAGGGTTTGGCAGAAGCCACACAATCCACTGAGTTGTGCAACTCCCTCAATCCCCCATGGCTGCAAAAAGCTCTCAGTGTGAGCGAGGAAGTTTCCCTGCAAAGCTCTTGGGCAATTTTCTGTACTTATTTGAGAGAGGAATTTGATCACAACAATAGTTATAGAATTAAGACCAACTGCCGCCCTGGCACCGGAGGAGGAAGAAATAACCAGAACCAAACACCCAGCTGTCTGTTCTGGGTGACAACCTCAGGACTCCGGTGTTTGAGGGACACGACACCAGTGACCCCAGTGAGCGTGTGATGGGCTGGTTGTACCGTGGCAGAGGGATGGGCCTGTGCTGGGAAGGAAATACCGACTATACCCGGTGTCTGCTGCTCAAATGGCAACGTTTGAGACACTCAGGGACTGGGGGCTGAAGCCAAAGAGAGAAGGTTCAACAGCATCAGGAGCTGGAGAAGGAACTCCCCTTCCTGCAGAACTGGGTTTCTGTTTGAAGCCCTTTTAGGGAAACAACAGGCTGGGGGAAAATGGATAAAACATTTCATTCCAGTGTTTTCTCCCTGGAGTTCAGGCCTGTTGGGATTTCTCATCAACTGCAGGCAAAACTCATGGAATAGTTTGAGTGGGAAGGGACCTTAAAGATCATCCAGTGCCACCCCCTGCCATGGGCAGGGACACCTTCCACTATCCCAGGCTGCTCCAACCTGGCCTTGGACACTTCCAGGGATCCAGGGGCAGCCACAGCTCTCCCAGCCTGTCCTTTGTAGGGGAGGAAAATCAGTGCATCATTTTTAGATGTAAAAGAGTCAGGATGAGATCTGAACTATTGTTGGATCATTTTCAAACTGGAACACTCAGAATCCCCCTGGTTTTACCCACATCTCACCACTCATCCAACCAAGCAAAGGGAATCCAGTTATTTATGTCCAGTTTTCACTGGAGGAGAGACCAGAGTACATCCCAAAATGTCTGTGGGATTAAGGGAATACACTGCCAAGGAAAAGGCCCCTCAGAACTCCCTCACCTTTGCTGCTGAGGAAGCTGGAGCCCAGTTACCCCTGAGCAGTTCTACAGAACAAAAGCAGCAGGAATAAAAATTCCCAGCACTTCAGGCCTGGAAAATTAAATCCACATTAAACATCCTCTAGTAGCCTGTGCCCTGGGGGACTGATCCCAAATCCCACATTTAATCCAAGACACTCTGCCCTCAGCTGCTGAGTTGGGGTTTGGATATGAGATAAAATATTCAAGCCCCTGGAATTTCCAGGCTGGGCTGCAGAACAATTTCAAAGCAGAGATAAAGTTTCTGCATTGCAGACATTTTTCTTCTTATTAAATACATTGTGCAGTTGGTCACCAATGGGATGAGACTTCTATAAAAGGAGGGTTGAGCAGCAGAAGTGGAAGTGTCCTTGGCAAAGCTGCACAGAAAAGCCGTAGTAACAAAACTGGGACTAAACCCCCAGTGCACTGCTCTGGTCCAGCTGTTATTCCCAGAATAAGGAAGTCACACAATTGAAGCAGAGAGGGGCTCAAGCCCCAAAGCTCTCTGCTCTCTCCCTGTCCCACTGCAGCTCTCCTGGAATTTGGGAGCTTTCCAGCAGCACAAGCAACAAACCACAATCAGCTTTTGAGGAGTCTTTTTTATTAAGATAAATCCAGCAAAATTCCTAACAGTGGGTACATACAACCAACCTGCCCTTTTTGAAAAGAAATGTTTGTATTTCATTTAAAAACAGGATTACACTTTTATTTATTTATTTTTCTTTTTTTTTTTTTTTTTTTTCAAAACTGACAAAATAAAATTACATTTGGGAAACAACAGATTTCCAGCTCTTAGGTTTTTTTTTTTTTTCATGAAAATAGCTCACCTTCTTTATAAAAGCAACCCACAGAACCACTGGAATGTTTCACACAGTTATTTGTTTTGAGACCTCCCCACTTTAAGAAACCATACAACACATACAAGGGAAAAATTAAAATCTGAAGTCTGTAAGCATGACTTACACAAAAAGGGACACACTGACAGAAGTCAAAAGCTACCACCACTTATTCTTTCCATGTACCATACAAACTATTACAATCACAAAATTTAAAAACAATGACTTTTTTTTTTTGTTTTTTGTTTTCTTTTGTTTGTTAGGGATTTAATTCCCAAGTAACCGAGATGAAGATGTTCCATAATTAAATTCATGCTAAAAAAACCTGCATTTATAAAATAGTTGATAAAAATATTCCTCTCTGTTAACAATACAGCATGGAGGTACGGAGACCAAATGATGGAGATATAGGGCAGGGTTAACATTACTCGGACTTGGCTTCCTTATCATCAGATGCTTCAGCAGCTGGTGCCTATAAAAGTGTTTGGGAAGAATAGAAATATTATTGGAAATGCTAATTGGATTCCAATCTAACAAGCATCAAAGAGAGAGCAGTTTGTTAGCAGAGACACGGACACTTTGTGTGGATAGTACTGACACAGCAACGAGGCTGATAATTGTAAAAATGAAAACAACTTGAGGTAGTTTTAGAATAAGTGCCTACAGAGAGGCAGAAGTTGGGAATGTATTTTAGATTAGGATCAATGCTATGACAGGGGAAGTTCAAGCCCTCATTGTACAAGGAAGTCTCAGAGTTACACATCAACCCCTGGTACTGTTGTCCAGGTTTTGGGGGATTCAGTCCCCACCTGTTCTCTACAAAAATGTGCTTTTACTTTTGAAGGTAGCACGTCAAACCTGCAAAGCTCCTCTCAAAGACCCCCTGAGGCACATCAGCCATGTATTGTTTTAGCAAAGCAGCTCCTGATCTCGTTTTAGAAATGAAAGAATAAACAACCAGTTGAGTGATGGTGACACTGAACCCGTGAGGAGAGACCAGAGTTCTCTGTCAGTTAGAGAGAAATCAAGGGCAAAGAGAGCCCTTGGAAAACTCTGTGTTGCTACTGCCAGCAAGGGATCTGCTGGGAAAAAATCCCACCAGGATAGAGCCTGCAGCTGGTCCCAGTCAAAGGCAGCTCTGAGGCAGGAGCTGCCACAGCAAGGACCTGTGAGAAGAGGCTGCAGATGAAGAGACAGGACCGAGCTGACTCTGCAGATCTCTTGAATTGTTCGGAGGGAAAGGACTGTTTGAAGAAATTGTGTAAAACTGAAAACCAGATTTCTGGCCCAGCCCCAGCCCGTGCTGAGCAGCAGAGGGAAGCCAGCAGCCCAGAGAGGGTGTGCAGAGTCAGCTCAGGGCTGCAGAGCTCTCCCTGAACTCCACTGTTCCCAAACACTCGGCGCTGCCTGAGCCAGCCCTGGAGGGACCCCGGCCCAGCACAGCCCACCTGTGGAAGGGCTCCAGCACAGGGCAGGAAGGAGCTGGAAGGACAAGGCTGTTCCTCCAGGCTCTCTCTGTGCAGATCCCCAGCTGGGCTGTCCTTCCAGGGTGGCAGTGAGACCCCCCACCCTGTGAGGAGCCAAGGGGAGCTCCTGCAGCTGGATTCCCAGCACATCTGGCTGTATTCCCGTGGTTAGTGCAGCTAAAGTACCTCGTTAGTTTTGGTATCTCCATTTTCAGAGTGGTTTTCTTCTTTAGCATCCTCCTGTTTAGTTTCCTCTTTGCCTTTGGCTCCTTTCTTCCCTTTTGTTGCTGCCTTTTTGTCCTCCTTTTTATCATTTGCTGCTTTTTCTTTCTGTTAAGAAAACAGACCACAATTTATTAAGTCCTTATTTCCACCTTGTACATCTGCATGTCTATAAACTCCCAAACCCTCCACACAACCTCCTTCCAACACCCCAAATTCCCCTCTGACAAAGATGAGATCAAAGTTTTGAAGAAGTGTTTTCCTTCTATGCTCTCCTGAATGTACTACTGGGAAGTGCATAATAAAAAAGCAGCCATGGCTGGGGTTAAAGGAATTCCTATTTTAAATAGGCATTGAATTAAATTAGCTCAAAAATGTTGAACTGGCCTGTATTTGTACCCTGCTGCTGAAAAGCAGCCACAGAACAAAACCAACATGTACAACTAGTGGAAATACCAGAATCCTTCAGATGTGCTGTTAATGCTTATTTAGAAAACTGTAACAAAGCTGTAGTCCAAGGACTTCCCCTCTTCCCTGCCAAAAATATTCAATATTATAATAAACCATATGTGTGACAGAAAAACTGGGGGCTCAACAGCAACACTTTGATAACAACAAGAGCTTTGCATTTATTATTTAAGTGCAGTTTCTTATATGTGGATCAGGCTAAATCAAAACAAAACCCAAAACTCGATGCTTCTGTAGTAATAATTTTCCATAGGCAAGGTCAGATCCCGACCCAAATACACGACTCTCATTAGTTTCACTTCCAAGGATCTGCCTCTTGCTGCCAGTAACTGAACTAGCTCAGCTCCTGCTTGATTAACCTACTTCCAACAAAGCAACCATGAAACCTGCAAAATCTACACACAGGAATGTGAAGAGAAACAGAAAATTACTGAAATACATATATATATATACTTAAAAGATTTGTCTCAGCAACAAGAACTTACTAAAAGGTTACAAAAAGTTTACTTTATTATTCCAACCCCTGGCTGATTAGTGCAGAAAATTAATTCACCTTAAAAATGACCTGCTGGTTAAGGGCAAACTCATGAAATAAAAGGTGAAGGCACCTGATCCTTCAATGATACTGATGATTAAAAATTCACCAAAATTAACAGCAAACCCTACAATGATGCAGAACATTTAAGACAGTGAGTCAGTAGCACTCAAACGGGTGAAGGTCTCTTTCCTCTCTAACTTCCCACATTCCAGTCTCAGGGATTTCAGACCAGCTGGGAAACTCTACTACAGTGTGGAGTCAGGAACTCCCTGGACTGGGAATATCCAAGTCTTCTGGTGCTGTTTGGCAGAGAGATTTAGAATTACAGTTCCACTATGGCAGTGGTTACCTTTTCCCTCACCCCATTAAAAAGAGACCACAAAGTATTTACAGAGCTCAAACTAATTCTCTGCAGTCCCCTCTGTGCTGGAAAAGCCCCTCCTCAGAAAGCATTTGGGGAGAATCCAGGGAAAATGGGTTCCATGGCTGGAGGGAAAGTGTCTCCCAGGACACAGCACTGTATTCCTGTTCCTCAATAATTTTGCTCTAGAGATGGCAACAACAATTCAGTACTAAGGTCATGGGTATTAAAAGTGACAGAACTCCTTTCCCAACTCTGGTTTTCAACATTGGCAAAGTTTAACAGGTGAAATCTGTTCTGAATCACACAAAGACATTCCAAGAACCTGAAGGTTGGCAAGTAAAGCATTTGGGGGCAGATGGGAGTTAAAAATGCCTCCACAGTTGTTAGTCCATCCCGCTTTTCACAGGTATTGGTGCAGTATGAGGAGCTGTAGAGAGCCAAAAATGCAGCTCAGGTATCCTGGCTTCAAACAGCACCTCAGGAGCAATAGGACCAAGGCTTCCAAGTCCAGCTGGGAGCAATTCCCAAGGCACTGGTCTCAGGGGTTATCCCAAAGGGAGACCACACCACACGGTTGTGCAGTGAGGGCCCAAACTAAGCTTTGACAGCCCCTTACAGCCCTAAACTCCTACAACTTTTAAAATCAGTTACAGCAGCTTTTGTGTTTAAACCCCAAATATTTCCACGAAGTAAACTTGAAAAAAGCAGCAAATCCCAAACCTGTGGATGACACACAGCTGCCCTGCCCTGTCACAGCCCAGGCCAGCTCTGTGCTGGCAGAGCAGCCACCAGCAGCTGGCTCTGCTCCTCCCAGGGCACCAGCCACTAGAGGGGAGTGCAATCCTGAGTGTCCAGTGCTCCATCCACCCAGGAATGTGGAGCTGTGGAGTTCCCCATGCTCTGGAATGGACCTAGAAATCCAGCTGCAGCAGCAGGATGGAACGTGAACGCCTTGCTCTGCGCAGCACTGAGGTTACAGAGCTGAGGGATCCTAAAAATGACACCTGGGGTTCTCCCTCTCCTCCATCTCTCATGGCACCTCTGCTGCTCCACACAGCAGGACTTGGAAATAGTTCCCTCACCTGGAAGTCTGCTGTGCCACAGGAAACTGCAAGGCATTTTAAATGGAAAAGGAAAGAGCTCCTGGTTCCCATTCATCCTCCCCTTCTGCAACCAAAGCATCTCTTGCTCCTGGGCTTTGCCTATCCCATTGTCCAAACCCACAAGGGAAACGTGTGATGGGAACAGGTTAAAAACAATCACTAAAGTTTTGTTGCTGGGGTGTTTGGGGGGGGGGGGCGGTTTGAGCTGCAAAATCCTAAATATTTACAGAAAAATAATAATAAAAAAAAGGCACTGCAAACTGACTGCTGGGAAGGATGTGACAGGAAAGGGGATGCAAAGAATCCCTCATGGATTGCAGAACTGTCCCCCTTGAAATTCAAACTGTTGCTCCAAAGCAAAGAGGAGCTCTAAATAGTTTTTTTTTTTTTAACTATACTGTCAGACATGCCAACATTTTTGACATTTCCGAAAATATCCGGCTTAAGGAAAGGGGTCTGCAGAACTCTCAGTGATTAAAAAGTGATAAACTGATAACTAACTGCAGAGAGGGCCTTGGAATGGAAATATAGTGAGGAACTGTAATTAATAGCATGATTTTCAATGCCTTCTCTAATTGAGTCTCTGATCTCTATTCCAAGCATCATTTTCCCAACAATGCACCATATGAAACTTTAGAATGGCCTTGCAAAGCCTCACCACAAGGGATCTGAAATCTGCTCAGTTTACCACATTCCTTGGCCAGGAATTGGATAAAATTCTATCTTTTAATTCACATAATTCCGCCTTGAACCTTTAAAGATAATTATGAAAAAAAAAAAAACCAAAGTGGTTTTTAACTCCAAGAGATTCCCAAAGACTTACCTTAGGTGCTGCCTTTTTGGGCTTTGGCTCCGGTTTGGGAGGAGCAGGTTTCTGTACAAAACACACACAAGGAACAGGGTCAGGTGAAAGCCAGAAATAAATATTTATACTTAAAATAAATATTCATAATGTTTATGTTGGTAACTTTTGGAAACTATTTACCCAACAGTTGGCCCTGCAAAAAATCAATGGGCAAATTACCAGGCTAAGGAGAGAGCAGGTAACTTATAGAGCCATGAACATTTGTATGGACAAATCCATCCTCAGATCAATATTCCCTGACTCTGGACACTCCTATGTCCAGACTGAATGTTCACTAACACAGATGTACCTCATGTGAGAAGCCTGTAATGTGTGAATACATAGAAACATGGAATGGGAATTTTAAATACTGAAGACTCAATTCTGGTGGAGAAACCCCAGTAGTTTGTCTTGAACTGCCCCCATCCCATGGGATGTGATATCCAAGGAATAAATAAGGATACTCACAGCGGATAGTCTGGCTGACCTTCTCTTTGGCTGTATAAAGAAAGATGTGTCACTAGAATTCAGAGAGCACATAAAGCACAGCTTTCTCAAAACTGCTATCCAAAATAACATGGTATCATGAAACCCCACAGAAATCCCAGGTTTTATGAAATTATGGCCATTATGGTGTGGACTTGATGAGTCCCCATTCCTGGGAATATATAAGACCAGGTTTGAAGGGACTTGGAGCAACCTGGGATAGTGGAAGTTGTCCCCCAGGGGGTGGAATGAGATGATGTTTAAGGTCCCTTTCAACCCAAACCATCCTGGGATCACACGATCCCTGTGGGTCCAGCCCAGGATATTTTAAGACTCCCCAAAAGTGCAGCTTTGCTCAGCTCCGCTTTTCCTCTGCTGCTGCCACTTCACCCCACTGAGGTGGGTTTCTTCCAGGAACTAAAAAGGGACATAACCCCACTGGAAAGGGACCTATTCCTATTGGAAAAGGGAAATGTCCCCATTGGAAGGGGAAATGTTCCCACTGGAAAAGGACGCGTTCCCACTGGAAAGGGACGTGTTCCCACTGGAAAGGGACGTGTTCCCACTGGAAAGGGACGTGTTCCCACTGGAAAGGGACGTGTTCCCACTGGAAAGGGAAGTGTTCCCACTGGAAAGGGAAGTGTTCCCTCATTGGAAGGGGACATCTTCTCAGTGGCCTCTGGCTTCTGCCACATTCCCACTGGAACTGATTTTCCCTGGCTCCAGCCACATTCCCACTGGAATAGATGACCCCTGACCTCAGCCCTGTGGAGCTGAAGTCAAGCACCCACCTCAGGCAGGTCACCCCTCACC